GACCAAAAAAAAAAGAAAAACACCCCCACAAAAAAAAACAATAACAACAACAAGAAGGGAAGCATGAAATTTCTGAAAATCACATATCATATTAGGTTCAAGACCAACAACAATGACACCATTCTCCATGAACCAACAAGCTTTTCAAATTTGTTTGAGAAATGAACTAAATGGCTGGAGGAGCTCCATGCTCCACTTTTAAAATTTTAACGAAAAAGCAAATGAAAGAGTAAATTTTGAATAAGAACAGAAATTCCCAGCTAATGAAAGTCATATGCTCTCACTTCTTTTGTTAACAAACAAAAGAAAAAACAAAGAAAAACCCTCACTCGCCCAAAAATAAAGAGAGAAAACAGAAACAATGAGATGTAGATTGTAAGAAACAATGAGATGTAGATTGTAAGTTATCATATTACCAACTAACTCTTCAAGATGGAAATAGAATGGTCTAGAGAAAAACTTTGTTTGGGTACAACACCTTATCAATGATTGGAGAAGAAGCAATGATGAGGTCGTTCATCAGGTCGTTCATCACATATTGAAAAAAGTTCAAGGTAGGCCACCATAAGGAAGGAACGCAAGATAAATGAAGGGACGGAAAAGCAGGTAACTAGGCAAATAGACAAGTAAGAGTTTATCAATTGTTTATTTGACTGTGGCGAGAATTGTTTTCTATGATTAGTTATGCTAGTTTATCTCTAACTCCAAACAGGCAAAGAATAAACAAAAACAATAAAAATAAAAAAAATAAAAAGTTGTTTATGCTATAGAGAACTATCTTCATTTATTCTACACTTCAAGGATCTAAAAATTCTTATAAGTCGCAAATCATAGAGCACATAATATAACACATTAGCAGAACATGATAAGTCAATCCTGTCATCAATTTGACATTACTACCGCAATTTATTTATTACAGTAGAAACTTTTTCGTTTCCAAACTGACATACATAGAAATTGTTATTAGACCTATTCCAATTCCAATAGAGGTTATACTAATACTAATTGAAAGAAGGAACTCTTACCTCAAATATAAATGATGTTTCAATGGAATAAATGCAGCTGTTTTATCAACAAACTGAAAAGCTAGAAAAGATCTAAGCTTTGTCCCTTGCCTCCATGATTTAGGCCTCAAAAACGCAGGTTGATAAGGACCCTGAAGCAGAGAAACATGTATGGCAATCAAATTCAAACTCCATTTTTTATTCTGATGCAATCAATACCATGAATTTGTAAAATCATCATCATCAAAGCCTCTTAAGGGGAAAAAATGTTCAAAAGTGTAAAATGAACCCAAAAAAAGAACAGTCAATCAGAGAAAAAATGCATGTATGATATATGTATCTATGTATCCTTGTATATATGCATACATGTACATATACGTGTGATATATGTATCTATGTATCTATGTATGATATATGCATATATGTATCCTTGTATATGTGCACACATATACATGTAAGGCAGTGTTGCATGCCTTGTATATGCATGATACTGTTCCAGCCTCATACTAGGCCTTTCATCGGCCTCGCGTTCAAGACTAGAATGGCAAAATCCACATCCTAATAGAGGGACCTTAAAGAGGTAAGATACACTAGTCTTATCAGCTGCCTTAAGTTCTGACAACAAGGAGCAGAAATACGATCCACTAGAATATTGAACAGTTCAGTAGTAATAGGAGACGATATAACGGAATATATTATTGTGAAAAAAGAAGTATATTAAGCTCTTTCCACTTCACAAGCCACACAAAATAAAAGACAGCAGACATTGTTTCACTCTACTATGGTTGATTCAAAACAAATTTCATGCTATGTGAGACATAAAAATTCAGAGAAGGAGAATAGAGTAATATTTACAACAAGCCACCAGCTATAGCAAAACAAACCAAACCCTTTCTCCAAAAAAAAAGCAAAATGATAAAATAATGGCACCTGCGTTTGATGGGCTATCAATGCCATGGTCCCCGTTCTCAGACCCTCATTTTTTTCAAGAATCCTACAATTCAACCATACAATTTCAATGAGAAAGCAATGCAAGTCATTAAATTTACATAGAATAAGAGGATTTCGAGCCTCTACAGGCTACAAAGGATACATTTTGACTTCTGTTCCATACATCAAGACAAACTTTTTAATTGTTTTTAGAGATTAATCCCCAAAACTTAGGTATTAAAATGATCAACAATTGGATAAATTCCATCCAAATTCACATAAGGAAACTTACCAGAAGTTCTAGGGCTTTAGTTTTAATACCTGGCCTGCGATTAAGAATTCGATGAGAGAGAGAAGACTAGGGTTTAGAGAGAGAGAGTAGGGAATGGATAAGAGAGAAAAAAGCAAAGTAAAAGGTACTTTTACTGATAACGAAAGGGCGGTCGAAAATTTCATCACGTGCGTCGCACGTGTATCAGGATGCGGCGGGTCGGGAGTCATCGCACGAACGTCACAAGACCACTACAAATGGGCCCTCTATTCCTCAGGCCCAATTCTTAGAATACAAAAGTAACTTCCTAGACACCGTTTCGATACCATAGTGTTTTACTTATTTTCATAGTGTTTTTGTCAAAAATAAAACATCATGTGTTTAGAAATCATAGTATTTTTAGGCTAAATCATCCTCAAATAAAAAACACAACACTTATTTCAAAACACCTTTTAAATATTTTAGGTTTGATATTTTGATTTTGAGTTTGAGGAGGTATTAATATAATATCGAACATAATATATTAAATATAATTAATATATAGTTATTATCAACGTACTTCTTATATTATACTATATTATATTATAGTTAATCTAATAAATTAGTAATATTTATTAAATAATATAAATATATATTAATTAAAAATATTCTAAATGGTATATAATAACATATTAAATACTAGTATTTAATATGTTGATAATGTATTATAAATAATAAAATATAAATAAATAAAAAATATAATAAAAAGTTATTGATAATAAATAATAAAATAATAATGATATAATATTATACTATACAATATTATTATCACTATAATATTATTAACATTTTCGTAAATAACTTGTAATAAATTAATAAAAATAATAAAATATAAATATAATAAAAAATATAATAAAAAGTTATTGATAATAAATAATAAAATAATAATGATATAATATTATACTATACAATATTATATCACTATAATATTATTAACATTTTCGTAAATAACTTTAATAAATTAATAAATAATAATAAAATATAAATATAATAAAAAAGTTATTGATAATAAATAATAAAATAATAATGATATAATATTATTACTATACAATATTATTATCACTATAATATTATTAAATTTTCGTAAATAAATTGTAAAAAATTAATAATTATAAAATATTATATAATAATAATGTATTTAATAATAATATAAATAATGTTGTAATAATATATTGTATAAGTAAATATAATTTAATATATAAAATATTAATATACTATATAATAAATAATTTAATATATTATAAACTAAAATAATTTATTACTAACAAATGTTAATATAAAATAATAAATTCATAATATAATAATATTGATTTATACCATAAATTATTAATATATAATTATATTATTATTAATAAACTCTAACATATTAGAAACTATAATATATTATATAATATTAAAATATTTATAATATATTAACTTATTAATTATATACTAGTAATAACATAATACTAACATTATTAATAGTATTGTATTATATTAATAATAGCATAATATTATATTAATAATAAAATAATATTATTTAAAAATATTATTAATATATAATAATAACAAATTGATATACTAAAATAATTAAATATATAGTTATTCAAAAATAATATATAATAGCTATAATATAATAATAATTATAAAATAATATAACTCATTAAAGTACAATATGATATTGTAATACATTATACAATATTATATTATATTATTTTTAATACTTATAATACTATAATAATGTAAACTAAATGTTACAACATTTTATTTATAATATATTTTATTATAATTAATGTTTAATATACTAATAATATGTTTAAGACTAATATTGTAAAGGGTCAAACTAGTGTTGAACAAAAACACTCAACATGATGTTTTCAAAACACTTTAAGGAAAAAAACACAACACCATGTTATTTTCTTACAAAAACACAACAAGGAAAACACAATGGCATCCAAATGAAGCCTAAGAAATTACACACATTTTGTTAGTGGGCTTTGCCTTTTTTTGGATATTTTTCTTTTGGAATTAGTCCAATAAACACTTCAAATTACTACTAAATCTCAAAATCTTACAAGTTGGTCCGAAATTAATGGGTAAATGGACTTAAATACATATAGCTTCCCACTTGTTGCACTTCAACACCACAAGTTGTATTTTGATGCAATAAATAACTAAAAACGCCATGAAGTTTCCAAGATTTGCATGTTACTACCATCGATTTTACAAACAAGAAGATTTTCACCCGAATGTTTCTCTATGATACTTACATCCTAATTTTAGAGTTTTTTAACTAATAATATTTATTAAATGTGCTATTAATCAACCAATTTTTTTTCGAACTTATCTTAATTCAACTTAAAAATAGAGTTGGTACATTTGTAATAAAAATTTTAACAAATAATAATTATTAGAAATCTCTAAAATTAATATGTAAGTATCACAGAGAAACATTCGGATGAAAATTTCCATATTTGCATGATCGATGATAGTAACATGCACAGTTTACAACTTTATTATATTTTTTACACCAAAATACAACGTATGGTATTTAAGTACAACAACCGGAAAATTATATGATATTTAAGTGCAGTTTACTCAAAATTAATCAATCAAATCACTAAAAGCTCTATTAGGCTCATCTATTCTTATAAGTTGTTGTAAAGTTAGTCCCTCAAATAAATGAAACTGCTATTCTAACTTGTATCAAATTACTTCATTCACTCAAGAGTCGCTGTAGCATGAAACAAAACTGGAGGGACCTATCAACTATTTTGATGATATGAGGACCTAATTTCAAATTATCAAAGATCTAAGCCTCTATTATTTTTAAAAAAACATAAAAAATTCATATTTTCTCTCAAAATTTTATATTAAGAAATAAAAATTGGCTTCATTTGCATACCAAGGTGTATTTCATGTTGTGTTTTTACGAAAAAAACACCATGTTGTCAACTTTTCTCCCTAAGTATTTTCAAAACATGATGTAGTTTTTGGTCAACGCTTCTTTGAGCCATTATAATATTAGTATTAAATATATCATTAAAAATAAATATAGTATTGTATAATATATTATAATATTATATGATACTTAATGTATTATATTACATAATAATTATTACATGTTATTTTCAAATAATGGTTATCAATTTTTGATTGCTATATATTATATAATATTATAATAATAGGATTTTATTATTAAAATAATATTATACTATTATTAATATAATATAATAAAATTAATATTATTTTATTAGTAATAAATTATTTTATTATTAATAAATTATTTTACATTATAATATATTATATTATTTATTATATAATATATTAACATTTTATATATTATATTACATTTACTACATAATATATTATAATAATATTACTATCCTTTTACTATTTTATTATAAAATATATTACTATGATGTAACATTTTATACTTATTAATTTATTACATATTATTTATTAAAAATAATAATATTATAGTGATTATAATATTGTATAGAGTATATTATTATGTCATTATCATATTATTATATATTATCAATGACCTTTTTATTTTTTATTAAATTATTTATATTTTATTCTGATTTATTATTATATAAATTATTTTAACTATATTGTTATGTAATACATTATCAACATATTAAATATTAGTATTTAATATGTTATTATATCATTATATAAGATTTTTTTAATTATTAATATATTTTATATTATTTAATAAATATTACAATTATATTAGACTAACTATAATATGGTATAATATAATCTAACATAATATAGTAAGCATGTCGATAATAACTATATATTTATTATATTTTATATATTATGTTAGATATTACCTCAAATTCAAAATCAAAACATCAAATTTAAAACAACTAATATATGTTTTGAAATAAGAGTTGTATTTTTAGTTTGCGAATGATTTGGGTCAAAAAACATCATGCTTTCAAACGCATGGTGTTTTGTTTATTGCCAAAATACAATAAAAATAAGGAAAACACTATGGTATCCAAAAGACGTCGAGAATTAGATTTCATGGTGCTCTTCTTTTAACTCCAAAGAGAGAAACAAGAGAAAATGGTTAAACACCACACGCTATTTCCATGATAAACCAATAAACATTGAGTGGTATCTAAAACAAATGAGGATAATATCCCATGAAGACAATCACAACCTCAAACTCGAGGCCTAGATTACACTCTCCCCCCATGTCTTTATCCCAAAATTTTAGCTTGGCTATATGAATAATAATATTTTAGTCACCCCCCATGTCTTTATCCCAAAATTTTAGCTTGGCTATATGAATAATAATATTTTAGTCATTTCTATTGCGAAGCAATCTTCTTCTTTGAGATAGATATAATCATATCCATCGTAATTGCTTCCAACTAAATTCTTTTAGATCGGCAGAAGTTAACATGAGCTCTTCATCCAGGCCGGCCACTATTGTCGCCTTGGCCCTGACCACCACATTCCTCCTCTCCTCCACTGCTGCCAGCACGCCAACCCTCTGCCAGACCTCCGACTACCCTACCCTCTGCGCCAAAATCGCCCGCTCTGTCAACCCCCTCACCCTCGAACTCTCACTGAAGCCTCTATCATGCAGCCACCCGAGGCAATTCACTCCCGTGCAGCTGCCGCGAGGCTTGCATACTCTACTCATGACCGCACCATGCAGAACCACCTCGGCGCTTGTCGCAGCGCATACAATGATGCACTGGGCAGCCTGCGGGCGGCCGCGACGTTGATGAAGACGAGCAAGGACAACAGGGAGGCTATCATATCCGATATCTCAGCCGCGATGCGCAGCGTGAAAACCTGTGAGGATAATTTCAGGGAGGCTCCCGGCATGGCATTTCCTTTGAGGAGGGTTAATAATAGCCTGATGAAGATGGTGAAGAATAGTCTGGCCATCGGATCTCAGCTTAAATGATATATGATCATAGCGGTTCTGGTTGTTTTGTGCATTGCACTGGGGGCTAATTACGTTTAGGTTGGACCTCATTTTATGTCCTAGAGATTATTTAGAGTTCTTGCAAGTTATAATGCATCAAAATTTCTTTCACTGAAGATATTGTAACGAGATAGATATACAAATAAAAGAAACAACTTCTTGCATCATCCGCAACCCACAGAAGGGAAAAGACTAAAAGTATCAAGGGCACCTACATCCATGACATTAAATGTGTACCATATGAATGTCAGACCTTGGTTCACTGACACTCCAATCTCAATTCAAATAAATTAGCGTAGCATCCTGCAAAATATTAATAATGACTTTGAGGGCATGATGCTACTCATACTCCTAACCTGTACAGAAATGTGCAGAAGTAAAGCTTTAACCTGTAAAATAAATTCTTGAAGCTATACCGACGATAATGGCAAACTCCCCATTACCAAATCATTACTGCAAGCCTGCAATGAATAAACCATCACATAATTCAGTTAAGACTCAATACACCTGTAATCCTCTTTATTTGCTCGAATTGATGAAGCTGATGTTACACATCCTTTTCGAGGTTGAGTTATAAACTTATGCAATGTGCTGTCTACCAGAAACACAGTATCGAGTTATAAACTTATGCAATGTGCTGTCTACCAGAAACGCAGTATCAAGTTATCGTTGACAACCCAAGAATAAATACATATCGTCAAAGCTGCATAGACTCAAATTTTGATACATGTCGCGTACTTAATTAAAGATCAAATAGACTCAAATTTTGAAGTCCGCTGGCAGCGTCTCTGCAGTAAAATATTCCTTCCTGACAGTCTCCACATCACAAAATCTCACCTGCAAGAAATCAAAGGGAACAAATTTGATCAAATGACCTTGTAGTTTAGCATGTCATTGCCAATAAAATAACCAGACAATAAGACTACACAAGATTGCTGCTACCCTTTCGGCTAAATTTCACAAATTGGTGACCAGTTATTAATCTTAGATATCGTAAGCAGCTAAAAGCCTTAACATTCCAAACCTTGATGATAACAAAAACTAATGTGATTATCAGCAATATCGATGTATTTATTGAGACTTCAAAAATCAAGAGGAATGCTGATAAAAAATGAAGTGCATTAAAAACTTAATGAATGCACTAAATTGAAAAGGAAAGTATGGGCAGCATATCATCAACTGAAAATGCTCCGTTAATTAGTCAAGAAGAGAATAATAGGGAGAAAAGGAAAAAGACACTAGTAAAAAGAGGTTCGGCCCCAACGGTTGTGTCCAACCGTTGGGGCTGGTCGCACAAGCCCCAACGGTTAAAAACCGTTGGGGCAAGTTCTTTTAGCCAAAAAACAGATCGGAGGGAAATTTCCCCCCTTTATTTTGACGAAATTTGAAAAAACAAAACAAAAACCCCCACACCTGCCCCGTTCTCTGTCTCTCTCACACATCAAAAAACCCAAACCCTCGTTCTCCTCTTCTTCATCCTCTCGATCTCAAATCTACTCCCATCTCTCTCGCCTACAGGCCTGGAGACATCATCCCCAAGAGCAAATCCGGCCAATACCACGGAGTAACGTCTCAAAACCCTAATCCTCTCCTTTTCGTCGATTCTTCTCTTCTACACTTTAATTTTTTATCGACAATGTGTGATTTCAGTTGAGAACGGTTTGGCACGATGTGATCGGCCACCACTGCCCGATCTTTGTGGTTAATTGTGAGGTACGATTGATCAGATTTTGTAATCGGTTTTTTTTTTCGTTTATAGGGTAATTGATCAGATTTCCGGGGTTTTTTTCGATTGTTACCGATTATTTGAGTCTAGATTGATTAGCTTATTTGTGCTTAATGTCTGTGAAGATGTCTTAAATGAAGAGAAATGGGAAGATAAAAATGTTGAGGTGTTTTGAGGGAAATTTCAACTGTTCACTGAGATTGAGATTCAAGGCTTTGACGCACCAAAGCCCTGCATATCTTTATTATCCTTGGTGATACCTTTAGCAATTGACTGTTCAAAAACATTGAAAATATTGACTGCTGCCATTTTGTTGTGAATTCTGATTGGATGTGTAGGTATTGATTCCGATTGAGAAGCCGACTAGGTTCACAGGAGCTGATCCTTATAAATTGTAAGTTTGTTCTAAATTTTTACCTCTTTTGGTGATTTTTTGAGCCTGGAATGTTTAAATTAACTAAAGAAAGAGAGGAATTTATGAATAATCTATCTAGTATATGAAATTTTGGTGCGGGAAATTAATTTGGACACAATCACCTCAGAGTCTTGGCCACAATGCCATTGCTTTATTTATGTACACATTCTTATTAATTTTAGCAAGATTTGACGAACCTCATCATCATAAAGTCAGCCACTAATTTTGATTGCTTCAGTTCCATGTCTAATTTTTCCGTAAGAGCCATCTTAGCTCATGTGGCACATTCACTAGCGCCCCCCCCCCCAAGTTATACCTTTTGCATATTGATTAGTAACCTTGTTGAACAGTGTCCATTTTCTTTTTCACGACCTCTAAAGCATGCTATGACCATCCTATGTTTAATACAAAATTGTGCTCCTTAATATTTGCTAGGTATGTTATTGACATAGAGGTAATATATACATGAGTAGAGTAGCGGCCATCCATTTACATCATACTACAAGCAAGTCTGACAAATTTCTCCATGTTAATCATATAACGGTGGGAGGAATGAGCCAAAGATGAAGTTTCCTTAAATAGGAGGTAATGTTTTCTGCTTGAATTAAATTTGAGTCAATATAAATATTAGCATGTATGTACCTTCTGGTAATAAAAAACTTGTGCAAATCAAGTTCATGTTTAATTTATATCGAACGTGAACTAATGTCAATTTATCGAACTATGATAAAACGATAATGATTACTTGTGTTGATATTTGAGTTTATACAAATATTACCATGTATGTGCCTTCTGCTCATAAGAAACATGTCTAGATCCCTATATTCTCATCACTAAGAATTTCAAAGCAAGCACTGCAATAACCCAATCCGTGACAAGTCTGCAACAATAAAAAGTTACGTCATAAAGAATACTTAATTAGCCGATAAATTTTATGACCTTGTAAAGTTTTATAAAAATTAGGTGCTACTCTGTTTGCAACAATGTCATGCTATCCTGAGTATAATATATTGTAAGTTTATGTAGTTTTTTTTTATATTTGACATTTTGAAATCAGATACTTACATATCTGCTCACTTTTTCTTCACTTCTTTTACCAGTTCAATAATATATCTTACGCTTATAATTTACAGCTTTGAATTGTGAAAAAGCTCTAAGGAGCTTTCTGCTACTGTACATTTTGTTCCACAAGTAACTAGTAGACAACATATGAAGTATACATTTGTGTTTGCACCTTAATTTCTGTTCTATACTATATCTGGAAAGGCACTTTCATTTGGAATGTTTGTGTAACAAGATCTTTTAGAAAACTCCCCCCTGTTTAATTTTTTTCTCCTTCTCTTGCAGTTTCTTTCTATAGGGTCTGACATATGTTGGGGCTTCTGCAAGACTTCTATATTGTTGGTATTAGTAATTTTCTTTCAATTAACTTCTATACGATTTGTTTGTTTCCTGGTTTTCGTAGTATATATCTTTTCTCATTGCTACAGACTTTATAATAATTTCTGAAATAAGTGTGTTTACAATTTTTCTTTTTCCAAGGATAATTTGTAATTTCGACACCAATTGAGATTGAACTAGAACGAAATAAAAATAGGAGAAACCATTATGCAGCTTTGTCGGAAGAGAGAAAAAAATGAAATAAGAAGAAAACAAAGAGAAGCTTATTATAACAAAAACAAAAACATAAGAAAAAAGATCAAGAAAAAGAAAGCATAATGTTTAATGAGCACACAGAATGCCACCAGATAAATAGAGTAAGAAAATGAAAATATGACAAAGACAACACTCATATATTAGATGCTATCTTCTTGCACCTATTTGTAAACCTGTTGCACAGGGTTTATATTTACATATAGGGTTTATTTTTATATGCGGCTCACTGTTCTAAGATAAAACTATATGTATTTGAACTATTCCAAATATATTCATTCACAGAACTATAAATTTTGTTGAAGTAATTTATAGGTTGAGTGATCGACCTCATTTACATGCAGTATGTGCCGTTGTGTGATTAGTTAAATTTTGTTCAAGAATACGATTAGTTGGTGTCTCAATGTGCACCGGATGACATCCTAAAAATGAGAAGCTTATTTGAACGGGCTTTTACTGCTGCTGGAGTGCATGTGGTTGAAGTCGGCAAGATATGGGAAGCATACAAAGAGTATGAACAAGTGATCTTTTTGACAATTGGTGATGACAATAATGAGGTTAGTTTCATATGTGAATATATGTCAGTATACTTTGTAGTTTAAACAGAACAAAATTGTTGATCACTATACTGTTTTATCTTTCAGGAAAAATCAAAACAGATTGATCGGATACGTACTTTATTCCATCAACAACTATCTATTCCCTTAATGAATTTAGAATCAAATTAGTTAATTACAGGCTTTGGGAGGTGGAACAAGGGAACACTGGCGATATGAACTCAGGAATTGGATGGGGTCCCTGCTAATGTTGTCTTTGCATATAATAATGCTTTGGAAATGTATAATGCTCGAAGCATGTATGAGGATCAATTGTCTAAGAGTATAGCTTATAATAATGCTTTGGAAATGTATAATGCTCGAAGCATGTATGAGGATCAATTGTCTAAGAGTATAGCTCACATGGCTTAATTTTGTATTCTCACATACATGTATATTGTAATCTTTTGTAAAAGTGAGGGACGCCTCACTTTAGAAAAGGCTCGCTCTCAATATGAGAGGCGTAACCATGTAACTCTTTGCTTTTAAATGAAATCTTAGCTTGGTTGGAAAAAAAAAGAATCTCGTCGCAAATCATTTAAATTTGGATGTATAGTAGAACCCAATTTTGATTAAAGCTTATGAATACAAATTTTATATTTTGTTATACTTTTCGTGTGTATGCATTGTGTTTTTGTCTCTATTAAGAGTGATTAATATTGAATATAATTGATTTTTTTTAAAATCAGGTAACTTGCCCCCAACGGTTCTAACCGTTGGGGCTAATTAAGGCCCCAACGGTTCTAACCGTTGGGGCGTATTTTTATTTTTATTTTTAAAAAAAAAGAAATTTCTTTGCCCCAACGGTTGTAACCGTTGGGGCAAAGAAATTTCTTTTTTTTTAAAATAAAAATAAAAATACGTTTCAACTGTTGGGGCACCATCAGCCCCAACGGGATTTGTCCCAACGGGCGTTTTAGCAGCCCCAACGGTTCTAACCGTTGGGGACACGATCAGCCCCAACGGTTGTAACCGTTGGGGCTGTTGCAGTTTGTACTAGTGAGAGAAATAAGAGAAAAGGAGAAGAGAAGGGATGCTCACTAACCAGGGAAGAATATGATCTCATTAATGGCTTAACAAGCTTCCAAATTGGCTGAAATACAAATGGAGCTTCCACAAAGAGGAGTTGACCAAGCCGCTTTGGGTAGTAATAGTAGAAAACATCTATCTGGAAAATGATAATGAAATAGGTATATTTAGCTTTAATATCAACCATTTGAGAAATACAAACAAAAACAAGGGGTCAATTTAGCACGCGCAAAGATGGCTCTAACTTTTATATTCAGGACTTTAACCAAGACCTCAAAATTTATTTTGCTCTAACTTATGAGTGATACTCCTCTAATCATTTCTTAAGGGAAATTTTAAATTTCCATTTTACCTGACATTAAATTGTTTCTCATCTACTGTTTGATAAGGATACAACGCCAGCATTACATAAGCGAGCAACTTTTATCTAATTTTTTTTTGCAAATGAATGATTAATTCTTTGATATTGAATTTTCTATTTAAAATTTCCAACATCATCAGGTAGTGAAGAAGGCAGCATGTGGTTGAAGAAGTTACCAGGAATTTCAAAAAACCAACATCTCCATTCTCCACTCCAAACCCACGTAGATCAACGATCCCAAGTATTTCCTCTACTCCATCTGGAAGTTTACTTATTGCCTTCTCCACCATGTATACACAAAGCTTTTCATTCTCACTGGTATCCTGCTTCTGTGGCCACATTATAACCGTCATATCATTGTCAGGGCACCTGGAGGAAAAGGCTATCTTAAGAACAGAAAAAAAAAACACAGAGAGAGAGAGAGAGAAAGAGAGAAAATAGAAAAAGTAATATGGACAAAAGAAGTATAAATGATTTCATTGCTTCACTCGGTGAAAAGAAAACTAAAGTGGAAGAACAAATAGGTAAGAGTTCATTAGGTGGATAAAATCAAAAAACTGGCTAGTTAATAAGAGTTCACTTTTCAGCATGTGGGGGGGTGGGTAGATCCCTTCCTGTTTATAGATATTTCTATTAAGTTCCAACTTTGGAGAAAACTAACAGCACACTACTTGTTGAGGTGTTGTTTCTAAGACATTTAGAATAGATACTTTGCCATAATTTTCTAATAGCAAAAGTGCTGAAAGGGAGGAAATTCAGCGAAAAGTTTGAGGAGAGAAAAGAAGGGGAAAGGATCGAGAAACAGTGTTCAAGGATTCAGCCCTTGATTACAAAATCAATTGGCTCATTTCTCAAGAAATTTTCATTTTCAATAGCACTCTAATTTTCTGATTGTAATGATAAAAGAATCTTATTTTGTATGCTAGATATGAAGTCTTAATTCAAGAAAAACTAATCCTCTATCTCAAACAAGCTCAACAACCAATAAAAAAATACTAAAATGAAATGACTCCTATTTCAAATCAAACTTTAACAAAATAGGCAAATCATATATAAGTAAGGATAAATATTCGATAAAGGAAGCTTGGCTATTTCAATGAAACAATTATACCCTCTGGAAAGAAGAGACTTTCATCGTTTTGAGTAAGACTAGCACAAAGAAAGAAGAGGCCAAAACACTGTGGTTACAGGGAACGTGATGTTATAATGACTAAATGATAATGAAGACAGCACACAATAAACTCGAGCAATTTCCTGATGTACGATGACAGCATAACTCCCACCACTCTCCGTAGGATGAATTATAAAATAATGCAGTGAGTTCTTTGTACTATTGACAAAATAAGTAGTTATATGATAAAATCATAAGCATAATTGTGGGTCACATATGAAAGGGGATGCCGGATGCAGCCAAGAAGAATAACATGGTACAGCAGGAAAAGAAAACCGTATTTATCATATTGTGAAAAAAGCTGTAATCACTATTAAAACTCACAGAGGAAACATGCAGTCACTATATACAAAAGGATTTCATTGTCACAATATAATTCACTGCAATCACATACAACATAGAGAAGACACAAGTAGTCACTATGTTCACAACCCTGACATCTCTAAAAGCACAGTTACATCAATATAATTATTTTGGTTCCATACATGAACAGGCAACAAAC